TGGATTATTTGCTCAGCATACAGATTGAATAAGTATAGAGAAAGGATACGATCCTGACATACACCCCTCCTGATTTTAAAGCACGCATTATCCCCTTGTTCTGTTGTCGTGGCAGCCTTTTGGTCTATGTACAGGTTCCTCATGAGCACAATTAAGTGTTCTGGAATTTCCATTCTTTGCAGTGTTATCCATAATTTGTTATGATCCACACAGTCGAATATGTGGAAACTCAAGGAATACCAGGAAGATTAAAAATCTTCCTGGTATTCTTTGCTTTCAGCCAAGATCCATCTGTCATCAACAATGATATCCCTCATTCCACATCCTCTTCTGAATCCAGCTTGAATTTCTGGAAGTTCCCTGTTAATATACTGCTGTAATCATTTTGTAATTATCTTGTTTGATAATTTCTACATTCTGCTGGATCACCTTTCTTTGGAATGGGCACAAATATGGATTTCTTCTAGTTGGTTGGCCAGGTAGCTATCCTTCAGATTTCTTGGCATAGATGAGTGAGTGCTTCCAGTGTTGGATTGTTTGTCAAAACATCTCAATGGGTATTGCATCATTTGCTGGAGCCATGTTTTTCACCAATGCCTTCAGTGCAGCTTTGACTTCTTCCTTCAATACCATTCATTCTTGATCATATGCTCCTCCTGAAATGGTTGAACATCACCCCGTTCTTTTTGGTGCAGTGACTCTGTGTATTCCTTCCATTTTCTTTTGATGCAGGCATCGTTCAATATTTTGCTCACAGAATCCTTCAATATTGCAATTGTTGTTGTTAAGTGCCGTCGAGTCGTTTCCGACTCATAGCGACCCCATGCACAGCAGAACGAAACACTGCCCGATCCCGTGCCAGTCCCACAATCCCTGCTATACTTGATCCCATCATCGCAGCCACCGTATCGATCCATCGCGTTGAAGGCCTCCCCCTCTTTCGTCAACCCTCCACCCTACCAAGCATGACATCCTTCTCCAGGGAATGGTCCCTTCTTACAACATGACCAAAATAGGTGAGACGAAGTCTGGCCATTCTTGCTTCCAAGGAGCATTCTGGCTGCACTTCCTCCAGGACAGATCTGTTAGTTCTTGTAGCAGTCCACGGTACTTTCAGCATTCTCCGCCAGCACCACAACTCAAAAGCATCAACTCTTCTTCGGTCTTCCTTATTCATTGTCCAGCTCTCACATGCATACCAGGCGATTGGAAATATCATGGCTTGTGTCAGGCGCACCTTAGTCCTCAATGAGATATCCTTGCTCCTCAGCACTTGAAACAGTTCCTTCGCAGTTGACTTTCCCAGTGCTACACGTCGTCTAATGTCCTGACTGCTGCTTCCGTTGGCATCGATTGTAGAACCAAGCAACATGAATTCCTTGACAACCTCAATCTTCTCTCCATTGATTGTGATGCTGCTCATTGGTGCAGTTGTGAGGATTTTTGTTTTCTTTATGTTGAGATGTAATCCATACTGCAGACTGTATTCTTCAACCTTCATCAGTAGGTGCCTTAAGTCATCCTCACTTTCAGCAAGCAAATATTGCAATTAGAGGCTTGAATTTTTCTTCATTCTTTTAGCTTGAGGAAAATGCCTGGTGTGTTTTTCCCTTTTGGTTTTCTAATTCTAGGTCTTTGCACATTTTATTGTAATACTTTACTTTGTCTTCTGAAGCTGCCCTTTGAAATCTTCTGCTCTGCTCTTTTATTTCACCATTTTTTGCATTTGCTTTAGCTACTCTCCATTCAAGAGTAAGTTTCAGAGTCTCTTATGATTCCATTTTGGTCTTTTATTCCTTTCTTGTCTTTTCAATGACCTTTTGTTTTCTTCATGTATGATTTTCTGGATGTCATCTCACAACACATCTGGTCTTTGGTCATTGGTGTTCATTGCATCAAATCTGTTCTTCAGAGGGTCTCTAAATTCAAGTGAGATACAATCAAAGTTGTATTTTGGCTCTCATGGAGTTGTTTTAATTTTCTTCAGCTTCAAGTTGAACTTACGTACGAGCAATTGATAGTCTGTTCCACACTCAGTTCCTGGCCTTGTTTTGACTGATGATATTGAGCTTCTCTATGGCCTCTTTCCACAGATGTATTCGATTTGATTCCCATATATTCCATCTGTTGAGGTCCATGTGTATAGCTGCCATTTATGTTGTTGAAAAATTGTATTTGCAATAAATAAGTCATTGGTCTTGCAAAATTCTATCATGTGATCTCTGACATCATTTCTGTACCGAGGCCATATTTTCCAACTACCAGTGCTGCTTCTTTGTTTCCAATTTTTGCATTCCAATCACCAGTAATTATCAATACATCATGATTGCAATTTTGGTCAATATCAGATACTGCAGAAGTTGGTAAAAATCTTCAATTTCTTTATCTTTGGCTTTAGTGGTTGGTGTGTAAATCTGAATAATAATAGTATTATCTGATCTTCCTTAGTAGGCACATGGATATTGTCCTATCACTGACAGCATTGTACTTCAGGATAGATCTTGAAATGTTCTTTTTGACCATGAATTTGATGCCATTCCTCTTCAGTTTGTTATTTCCGGCTGTGGTAGTTAAGGTTGTGTGTCAACTTGGCTGGGCCTGGTTGAGTGGCTAGGAAGCTGGTGGTGCTTATTCCCCATGATGAGACTGGCAATCAACTCCATGGTGAGATCTACCACAAGCAGCTGAAGCTTTAGGGATGTGGTCCACTTCCCATATATAAGAAGCACTTTGGGAATAGTCTCTAGTTTACGGCATGCTTGAACCCTGCATGTAGCCAGTCGTTGTTCAGCAGCCTGCCATGCTGTGCCAACCTTGGGACTTTTAATGGACTTAAATTAATGACCTGCCGTATGGTTTGGTAACACAGGACTGTGCCTTTTTACTTGTCAACCTTGGGCTTGTCAGTCTCAGCAGCCAATAGCTGTCTGAGTGAAGAAAAGCCTCTAGCTTCAGTGGACTGGGAGCAGGAGGCAGAGCTGAAGTCCAAGGTTGAGGGGCTTTTCACCCAGCCCCTAGAGTCTGGCACTTTGAACTTGTACTTAAAGCCTCCAAACGGTAAGATAATAAACTCCTGTTTGTTAAGGCATCCCATTTGTGGTATATTCCTGTCAGAGCAGCACCAGGGAACCAGAACGCTGGATAGAGGACCACATCATTATCTGATTCAAAGTGGCCAATACTAGTTCACTTCAGTTTACTAATGCTTAGGATATTGATCTTTATGTGTCCCATTTCATTTTTCACAATATCCAGTTTTCCTAGATTCATACTTAGTAATTACACATTCCAGTTATTAATGAATGTTTGTAGCTGCTTCTTCCCATTTTCAGTGGTGTCCTATTAGCCAGTGGAGGTCCTGAAAGCTTTGTTACATCCACGTCATTAAGGTCAACTCTACTTTGAGGAGGCAGGTCTTCCCCAGTTGTATTTTGAGTGCCTTCCAACCTGAGGGGCTCATCTTCTGGTTCTATATCGGACAGTGTTTTACTACTGTTCATAATGTTTTCCAGTAATATATCAGACAGTGTTTCACTGTTGTTCATAAGGTTCTCAGTGGCAAATTTTTTCAGAAGTGGATGGCCTGCCATTCTTTCCAGTCTGTCTTGGTTTGGAAGCTCTGCTAAAACCTTTCCACCATGGATGACCCTGCTGGTATTTGAAATGCCAGTGACATAGCTTCGAGCCTCACAGTGACACAGAAGCCACCACAGATGACAAACTGACAAGAGTTGAACCTAAATCACATCCAGAATCCTAGCTGCAAGGGAGTCTGGGAAAGGTAGTTCTTAGCTTTCCTGTCCCTTTAGGGGCAGGACACTGTAGAGGGTGTTAGAAAAGCTTGTTTTCCACTAATCTTCAGCAGCTATGCCACTCCTTAACAATAGCCACATTCTAACTTTTTGAAACAACAGCTTTATTGATAATGTGGGTAATTCACCCACTTAAAGTGTATAATTCAATGGTTTTTACTATGTTCACAGAGTTTTGCACCATAATCACTTTTAGAATCTTTTCATCATTCCAAAAATAAACCTTGTCCTCATTAGCAGTCACTCCCCATCTACCCTCATGCCCCTAGCTCTAGGCAGTGACCAATCTACTTTCTGCCTCTATAGATTTGTTTATTCTGGACATAGCATATAAATGGAATCATAACAATAGGTAAGCTTCATGACTATCTTCTTTCACTTAGCGTAAGGATTTCAAGGTTCAGCCATGTTGTAGCGTGGCCTGGCACTTGGAGCATGGTAAGGGCTTCCTCAGTAAATGTTGGCCGAGATTGTAATTATTATTCTGTGTAAAGCTGGCAGAAGGGGCCCAGCATCCACACTGCAACCTGCTATATTGTTAACACGCCTGCAGCCAGCTGGTGCTGGAACGGCTTGGCTCTGCTGCAGTTGGATCAGTTGCAAGCCCCCACCCCACGCTACCCTACCCTGACAGTGTGACTTGGAGCGCGTCTGGTTAACCTCAGTTTTCTCAGCCACCAAATGGGATAAAGAAAGGTCATTCTCACCTGAGGATCATGTGAGAGAAAGAAATGAAAGTGATAGGTAGAGATCTCAGCTGTGCTTGTGGCCCTTAGTATATGACGCTTTCCTGACAGGTAGAGGCAGGGTAAAAAGGCACGGGCAGGATTGGGGACCTGACATCACACCGCCCCAGAGTCCCAGTGTGGCCCCCTGAAATGCCTCGGATTTCTGGTCTCAGGGAAGAGAGAAGAACAGCGTGTCACCTCCTCCTCTCCTTCCTAGCCTTTGCAGCCACAAACTTGGAGCCAAACCTGCTTCTGGATTTGACAATTTGCTCAAATGTGTTCACTCTTCTGTAAACACACACTCCCTTGCCCCAGGGCATCTGCTGGAGGTTGGGTGGGGCTGGGGTGCTGTATTTGTTTGACTGGGAAAGACTTCTCCCCAAGAGCCCCACAGGCTTCCTCCCAAAGCCTGGCCCTGCTTCTGCTTCTGCCTGTAACCTATGTCCCTATTGGTTCCCAGGTACTTTGAATTTTACAAAGGACCTTTCGAATATAACTCCTCGAGATGCCTGGAGCTGAGGCACGAAATCCTGGAGGTGAAGGTGTTGTCCATGTGAGTGTGGCTGCCTGGGCATCAGGGTGGGGGTGCACAATTGCATGGGGGTGCAGGGCTGAGTATCAGGGTGTCCCCATATAGTGTGTGGGGACAGGGCTGGGCGTCAGGGTGGGGTACATGATGCATAGGATGGGGGCCACAGTGGAGGGACACAGGCAACATTGTCTATTCTTTTTTTTTTTCCCAAAAAATTTTATTGTGATTTGAGTGAAAGTTAACAGAGCATATTCATTTTCCATATAGCAGTTCATATATATTTTGTTTCATATCATTGACTGCAATTCCCCACAGTGTAACAACTCTCTTCCTACTTCCTCCCTATAGTTAACTCTTTCCCATGTCCTTTTTCCTATGCATTCCTGCCCCCTGAGCTATCTCCCTGTGAAAATTCTGCCCCCCTCTGTTCTCCCACGATTGATTGTTCTAAGGATATAGCTACCTAATGTAAATGTTCACCCTATGTGCCTGTCTCTTGTTTTGCTGGAAGCCACAGGAGTGAGTTCAGTTCGGGACCTGAGGGGTAACTGGGGCATAGTCTCAGGGGTCTCACCAGGCTCTAACAGACCCTCAAACCTGGTCTTTTTTGGCTGCATGGTCTGTACTGATAAAGCAATCTGAGGCCTCTTTCCCAGGAACCACTTGGCACTTGGAAGGCCCTCAAGGGCAGGAACACAGTGATGATTGTGGGCCTTTTAAGAAAAAAGGCTGTGATAGTTGGAGCTGTGTGTCAACTTGGCTGGACCACAATTCTGTGTGGTTTAAGCAATTGTCATGTGGGTTGTCCAATGATGGAATCAGTGTATATGTTTTGAGCAGCCAATCCGTTGAAAGGGAGTTTCCCTAGGGGTGTGGCCTGCTTCCAGTATATTTATGGACATCCTGGGAAAAGAGACACTCTTCATTTGTGGATAAGGATTCTGTTGTGCTGCCTGTAACTGTCCATGAGCGAACAATCCACTATTCAGCCTGGAGATCTTGGATTTGTTATTCGTTGGAGTCAACAGACAGTATACTGCCTGTCAACCTTGAGCTTGTTAGCCCCTGCAGCTGCATGAGTCAGGAAAAGCCTCCAGCTTGACATTTGATGCAAGAACTTGGGACTTGCCAGCTTCTATAAGTGTGAGAGCCATTTTCCTAAGATAAATTTCTCTTTCTCTTTACTGGTTTTACTTCTCTAGAGAACCTAGTCTAACACATTTGGTACCAGGAATGGGGTCTAGGGAGACAAAATCATAAGGATGGGCTTCCTAAATTGATTTGATTAATCAAATCAAATTTGATTAATCGTAAAGGCACTGGTGATCCTGCCTCCATTAGTAAAGAGGGCCCTGCTAATCCGTGGCGTGAGGTGGCAACATTAATATGCAAAATAGCACCACCAATAGATCAAGTACTTTTGGGAAGTGAGGCTCTGGGTGATCGCATATTTGATACTTTTCTGCAATTTTGTCAGCGTGAGGAATATAAGGAAGCTGGTTGCTTGGTCCTACTTAACACTAGACAAAGTGGTGAAAGAGCGAGATGAGCTCAGGGCTGCTGAGTCACAGCTTAAGTGCCTCATAAAGACCTCAGTGTTTCCAGTTGTGCTCTGAAAGAAAGCCTTATTTCTTCTAGTAACAGAGCTGATACTGCTGAAAATCAAACCCAGAGTCTTATTGTAAGGGTGGCTGAATTACAACACCAACCCAGAATGGTGTCTGAAGTTAAAGTGAGGGCATTGATTGGGAAAAAACGGGATCCTGAAACCTGGGATGGGGACATATGGGCAGATTGTCAGGAAGATCAGGATATGGAGCCTGTAAATTCTGTTGACTCCCTCCCATCTGAAGGGATTACTGTAGAACCATTATCCCTTCTACCTCAGTTTGATGGTATTAACCCATCTGATCCTGCTGGGTCATTGCCTGAGGCAGAGGCCATGGAAGACATTGCTGAATGTTGTCAGGAACTGCCCCAACCACCCATTGTTGCTGCTAGACTTGTAACAAAAGTCCATGCAAGCCCCAAAAGGTAAAATATAAAGTGTGACTGAGGAAGAGAAAACTTGTGCCTGGTTTACAGATGGTTCTGTGCGATATGCAGGCACCACCCGAAAGTAGACAGCAGCAGCATCGCAGCACCTTTCTGGGACTTCCTTAAAGGACAGCGATGAAGGGAAATCCTCCCAATGGGCAGAACTTCGAGCCGTGCATATGGCTGTTCAAAGAAATGGCCAGATGTGCAATTATATATGGATTCATGGGCTGTGGCTAAAGGCTTGGCTGGATGGTCTAGAACTTGGAAGGAGCATGATTGGTAAATTGGTGACAAGGATGTATGGGGAGGAGGTATGTAGCTAGATCTCTCTGACTGGGCCAAAGGAGTGAAGATATTTGTATCTCATGTGAATCCCCATCAAAAGGTGACCTTGGCAGAGGAGGACTTTAACAATCAGGTGGATAGGATGACTTGTTCAGTGGAAACCAGCCATCCTTTTTCCCCAGCTACTTCTGTCATTGCTCAATGGGTTCATGAACAGTGGCCATAGTGGCAGGGATGGCCTCATGCATGGTCTCAGCAACATGAACTCTCGCTTACCAAAGCTGATTTGGCTACCACCACTGCTGAGTGCCCAATCTGCCAGCAGCAGAGACCAATGCTGAGTCTGCAATAGGGAACCATTCCTTGGGGGTGATCAACCAGCAACATGGTGGCAGGTTGATTACATTGGACTTCCATCATGGAAAGGACAGCCTTTTGTTCTTACTGGAATAGATATTTATTCTGGATATGGATTCACTTTCCCTGCACACAATGCTTCTGCCACTACCATCTGTGGACTTGCAGAATGCCTTATCCACTGTCATGGTATTTTACACAGCATTGCTTCAGATCAAGGGACTCACTTCACAGCAAATGAAGTGTGGCAATGGGCCTATGCTCATGGATTTCACTGGTCTTACCATGTTCCCCATCATCTTGAAGCCGCTGGCTTGATAGAACGATGGAATGGCCTCCTGAAAACACAATTATGGCACCAGCTAGGTGGCAATACCTTGAAGGGTTGGGGCAGTGTTCTCCAGGAGGCTGTGTATGCTCTAAACTAGCATCCAATATACAATTCTGTTTCTCCAATAGCCAGGATTCA